GGGGGCTTGAGCACCTGCCCTTTTTCTTCCTCGAGAGAAAGTACCCTTTTTTCTGGGGAGTTTATTTATTTTTTTAATAGATGCATATATGTGTGCCTGTGTGTGTTTTTCTGTTTGCGCACAGCAGTCCGCAACTGATTTCTAGTCGTGTCCTCTTTTGGAAGGCCAAACAAAGTAGTTTCGCTTTCACAATGAAACACACAGTGTCACACACGGCGGCCTAGAGTGAGCGGTGGCCAGGCTAGAGTGAGCGGAGGCCAGTGGGCTAGAGTGAGGAACCGCCGGCGGGCTTGAGAACTTGTGCGGCCGGCAGATTCGACGAAGGAGCAACCAGCGGGCTTGCGGCAACCACATGATGACCCCGGACTGGACTCTGTTTAGTTCACGGTGAAAGGCGATCCGGCGATCCACAGCGCAAAGTTGATGTATTTCCTCAGCGACCAGCACGGATCAGCTCTAGGCATGACGAAGCGGATATCTTCCTGTTTTGGAAGGCCAAACAAAGTAGTTTCGCTTTCACAACGAAACACACAGCGCCTTCACGACATGGCGGCAACAACAATACTACAGCGAGTATAAAAGTTACGCCTTCTTTTTTTGCGCGAACATTTGGGTGGCATTATGCAAATCTTCCCACATCGTGACGTAGACATGTGGGGGCGTGTTAGAATGAGGCATTTTAGGTAGGCGTGGTTGACTCTTAAATTTTATAAAGAATATCTCTTTGGATTTGAGACTTTAGTCTTTGCAACTTTACAGATCTTCTTTATGCACCATACTCCAAAAGAGAAAGGAAAAATTTAAATCACATCATATGACCCCTTTAAGAGTTACAGTGGTGGGGAAGATTATCCATGAATAATGACTTAAATTTGGATGTTTTTCACACAACTTATCAGTGTTGGCTTTTGTTTGAATAGGCTATGCTTGTGTGTCATCTTCACTTGTTTCGCGATCGTCGTTGCCATGGTTGTGAACCTACGTGTGGGGTGGAGATTTCAAAATAAAGGTGAGGTCCTGTTGGGGTATGGGCGTGTTTGTTTTGGTGCTTTCAAATATCAACATTGTTTGGCAAAAATCGCTTAGTGCACCTTTAAATATTGAGTGAATTTCATGAGTGATTATACTGCCACTATCACTTTGTCTATTTTGCTCCGCTAACATAAATAGAACAAAGCCACAACAGAATGAATGGTTTCTCCAACACACACAGTGTTTAATGTTTATTTCCAGAATGACTCAGTGTTTCTGAACGAATCGGTAGAATGAATGATTCAATGACTCGCACATAAAGAGTCACTTGCTTCATTCCTGAATGAAGCAGTGTGTTGAATGAATCAGTTGAACGAATAATTAATTTAATGATTTTCTCATAAAGTCACTTACTTGTAAAGTCTGGACCTATGATGTAACTGGCAGAAAAATACCCACAAGTATGAACAGACTGTCTGGAACACACAAACATAGACATGTTAAGTGATATAAACAATGAAAACTCCCAGTGCTGTTGGATTCTATCAACACTCTTGAATCGCTGCTCAACCCATCATATTTGAGAATTAGAACTACCTACTGAATAATAATACATATACTGTATTGTTTAAGTCTGAGTCTCAAAAATGGGAAACCTCATGGTGTTCAATTTGGAACAACAAATAACTTGTTTTTATAGAGGCTTGTTGGCCTCCAAAGTACAGTACTACAGTAATAATAATACTACTGACTTATATTCCAGCCAGAGGGCAGTTGGCCAACCACAATTCTGTAAGGACAGGATATTGGGTCAGACACTTCAACTTGCATCCAGCTTGCAGGAGAAAACAGAGCTCTCTGTGATGCTAAAACGAACCACATTAACCAAACTCACTCTTTGACTTTATAAAAGGGCATGACAATAGACAAAGAGCAAACCTCAGACAAGAATGTCATTTTGACTAACCTAAATGATAGTGTGGACAGCTTTAGTCACTGCATCAAATTTGGCTAAATGCTGATGTTGTTTATGCATTGCTGTCATTAATGATTTTGGCCCTGCTTGTTTACAAATCATCTGTCATGGCACATCAGCCTCTGCTACGATCATGGCAATTGAGGTCTGTCTGAAATGAATCATGGGTGACACCAAAAAAGCAGCACTGTAAGTCAGAACAGCAGCTGATGCTTGACGAATTCGAATCCAGTTCAAGCAAGGCCTCTATCCCAGCTGGGGGCTGGAAACCTCACTCTTGTACATTCTTTGGTCATCCACAATGATTTGTGATCTATCCTTATTCTGACAATAATCACATGCTCTCTGCCAGTAACCTTTTCTCTCCCTCTCTAATTGCCTTCTCTTAAAGGTTTTTCATGATTTTTGAAGGAGAGTGTGTGGTGAAACTGCAAAGTCACTCACAAGGACCCATCAAATGCCCACATATTCCCCCAGCCAAGACAAAAACATAATTTTTGAAGGAGATGATATAAGCAAACTTGTAAAGCCCATATTATATGGTGGATTTTTCATTATTTGTTTGCATACTTAAAGCCCAGTTCCAGTGGCATAATGGACAAGGATTGTGGGTTGGAATCTCACCTGGTTGATGAGCATTTACCATTCCAACAATATTCATGCAGTGCAGTCTGTCAAACTTCCTGTACCCATGAGTCATCTACTAATTGTACAACTGTACACCATAATGAATTTCAGATGTAGTATCTTCAGTATTTACTCTATAATTCATACGTTCACTGTATATAAATCTCAATTATCAACTGTTTTTTTCAATGACCTTCGAGTCTCGTGCAACATTTGTTAGCTAACGTCAACTATTCTGAAGACGTTTTAAATAAAATAATTAAGTTGTTTTTTTATCTATTTAATAATAATTAAATAATAAAATATTCTTTTTATATATATTTTTTTTTACAACGAAGTGCATTGCGAGACTGAACTTAGCATTTCACGCAGGGCAAAATGTCGCTCCTCAAGCTTCCTGGGAGGAATTAAATAGATTTGGTTACATATCATTTTCAACCATGGGAAGAAAATAAATCATACATTTACTGGAATATCGATATGAAAACAAAGAACGACGAACACTTAAATAAAACAAACCAAATGAAAAACTGCGTTTTAAATAGAGTTTGAAATGGTCAGCATGCTGTTGTGCCACAGGAGCGCTAAATGTCAAGTTTCTGTTTATACACGAGTATGACATGCTAGTTGTAATTTGAAAAGCACTAGAGGACAGTTTTTGGGTAAAGTCCAGTTTGAAAGTAGAATATGATAGACGATGACATCCTCTCCATCCAAATCCGCACAACGTGGAAGACATTTTAAAAGACTTGCTCTCAAACATTACCATAGTAACCATCATATTCCGGGCAAATTCATATTTCATGTTTGTTCCACCATTCCATGTTTGGCATTCATGTTTGTTCCACCAAAGATATTCAGAAAAGTGTGCCAAACAACTCTGATCCCCTCAAAATAGCATTTTTGCCAAAGCTGTATTTGTACAAGATGAAAATCAGAATGTGCAAGACATTGAATGTTCCAAGTTCAAATGAACTTAAGACATTTACTATGGTAATCACAGTTTCTCCCAACGGTGCTTACCATTTAGATACAATAGGCCTAATTGTTGCTAAAACTGTTAATTATTGCCATACAATAGTACAAAATGAAATCCAACTTTCAGCTATACTGACTTAATGTGGCAAAATGTCATTATTATATGAGATGCAAAAGTCATCCTATATGTCCCAGTTCAAAAAGTCAAAAGCTTTATATTCGTCATCACAGTCTCAATTAAATGCTGTTGGAAAACTAAACGACTCTTACCACACTTAAAATGAGCGGTCTATAAAAGTATATAAAGTAAAGTATTTGGCAGCTTGTGTGTGATTTGCCTGACCTCTCTGAATCCCTCCATACAGCAACCCCAGTATTCTTGGGTGGCTGTCCCCTACCTCTGCTCCCCTCACGATGTAATCTTATATCATTCACACCACTCTGCCTCCATCCAAGTACAGGCCATGGTCCAGACTCCAATTAGTGGTCACACTAGCAGGCGGAGATGACGCCGGCCCCTCAAATTACCCACAGCAGCATGTTTAAAGACTGCAAGGGGGGTATTGCTGCTGGCACACCGTGGGCTGATACCCAGGAGTCAGGCAGCTCTGCTTTAATTAAAGGGTGAATTTGCATTTGTTTCTGCTGCTTGTGTTTCAGAAATGTATTTCAAATGGCAATGCCACCCAGTATTATGACCCGAGTGTATTCAGGTATGACGGCGGGATGGCATTGATGGACTATATGCAGAGCTCCAGGAGGGAAGCAGGGCTGTAATCTTCAAAAACGTCTGCGGCTCAACTTTTTTATTTGTATGATAGAATCAGTGTGCCATAACCCCAACAAACACTGTATAGATCCTGCCCTTTTAATTTTTATGTGCAATTGTAAAAGGGTTTTTGTCAAATGGAAACTGCAGGGAGTTTGAGAGTTGATGAAATGGATAATTAATTAAATCCAGTGTAAAAAAAATGAAAAATGGGGATGCACAATTAATCGAATTAATAAGCTTTTGCATACATATGTTTGCATAATTCACAGTATTTTTGAGGATATAAGTTTGAAGCATTCCATTAGTATTCTGCCAAAGTAAAAGCTTGAAATATTAAGACATACATATTAGTATTGTAACTTTTTTTAATTTGACAGTACAAATGTAATTTACAACAGTACTAACTTTTACTTTTTCTTTTTATAGAGCTAAAATAATAATCAGAATCAGCAATAATTATGCATATTAATATTAATGTGCTGTTAAATTATTAACTTAAAATCTTAGATATTTTTTGTATAAGGGACGTGGCTGACAGAAATATTGATCAAATATAAAAAAATGTATTTAACAGTACAATTGTAATTTACAACAGTAATAAATGTCAGTCTTCCTTTTTATGATTAGTGTTAAATTAATAATAATCAGAATAATGAATAATAATAATTAATGGGCACTGTTTATTTTTAATGACATAAGTTGGATGTCAAACATGATGTATAACAATGGCCAAAATGAAGTTCTTTTTCTACTTTGTGAATTTCCAAAATCCACTGCAGGGCCACGAAGCTCTTTAACATGACTCCCTCTAGTGGATAAAAATTTAACTGCCATGTAACAGCTACAGGTGAACTCAAAGCGACAAAGTATTAATGTGGCCGACTAGCTAGTTTTCTCTAGGCAGAGCAGTAAACAGCTTAAAAATGGTTAATGGTCAATAAATTAAGCCGTGAAGATTTCTTTGTTCTGGTCCATAGAATGTAAATGCAGAACCAGTGACAACAGGAAATGGAATGACACCATCCCCAAAACTTTCAGTTTTAATAAAATAGTGACAACTCTCTTACAAGTGTCACGTGTACCACTTCAAAACAGTACAGGCATAACCGCCTGAACAAGCTTTACTGTAAACATATTTGTGCTATTCCAACTTTACAGCAAGACACTTTGCATAAAAGCATCTGCAAAACTTTAAAGAATGGCCAGTTTCTGTAATGTATTCAAAAGGCACTTTACAAAGTTATCATACAGACTAGACGTGTTTTTCATTTCCAGTGGAATCCTCAAAGTTTGGGAAATTTTCAGCAGAGCAACTTCCTCTTGAATGTGTTGTATTATTGTTGTCCTGTTTGAGTTGTCACTCCATGTGACAGACCTGAGTTCATATTTTAAAACGTCACAAAAAGAGCCTGTTGACAGTGTAAGAACAATGCTGAAACTCGCATCTCCGAAGTGCTGAGACAAGCACTTGTGACCACAGCGCAGCAAATTTTCTTCTCTTCCTTGTTCCTGGTTAGTTACAAAAGGAAACAGTGTTTCCTCTGCAGGGGGCCCAGTCTTTCACAGAATGTTGAGTTTTTTCACGTTTTTAACACCTGTCAGTTCAGTATACCATTGATCTCACGGCTGTTCGTCTCATCGTCATGTGTACCCATCAGCCCTCTGATGACCGCGAGACCTGAGGAGGCAGTAATGGATTTGTAATAAGAATACAAGGAAATTAAAGGTTACCCTTTAAGCACATAAGGAAATAATGTGAATAAGTATATTTACAGATAAAAAGCTTAGATAAATGCTACAATTAAGCATACATTGTTATTGTAAAATGCCAGCCAACATTGAGAAATAAAAGAAAAAGGTTTTACAAAATGTATTTTAACATGCTAAATTAACATAATATGTTAAACAAATTCATTTTTAAAATGGTGCTTTAGATTGAGATTTACAGTGAAAAGCATTATGCAAAAAAAAAAAATTTAATTAAAAATGTTTTACTGCATAATGTTACTCTAAAAATAGACACATTTTCAGGTATTTTTAAATTATTTGCTTTGGATTTTTCCCATTATTTTATTTTGAAAAAAAAAAAAAGTTGCCTTTACATTATCATGCTGTCTTTATATGGTTCATATGGTCACTCATATGGTGTCTCGCTCCCTACGCAGGGAACCATGGTTACATAAGTAACCTGAGACGTTCCCTTTCATGGGAACTTCGAAAAAAAACTGAACATGAGGACTGTCAGTTTAAATGGTAATTACAATTTACTACGAGCACCATAATGTAGTACCATAGTATTTATCAAAGAACCATTCAAATGGAAATACATTTGTTTTTTCCCTTTCACCCCGGTATGTATGGTTACCTCTGGAAATCTAGTTCCCCTTTTAATGTAGAACAATCATCAGCAGCTGTCATAAAATGTGTGTTACCAAGCGTGAGAGGAGAACTCCGAATTCAGAGGATAACGTTGCTCATTCCAGGTAACCCTTTTAAAAAAGGGGAGCACTGCTCAAACTACCATGAGGACAGGCCATGGAGCGAGGCATCCAACTCCTCAGAGAGGATTAACGCTTGAAAGAAAGCACCATAACCGCTTTTGCGCATCGCATCGATGTTGGCATAACTTGTATGCTGGAATCGATGGATGCGTGAAGAAAAAACGGCCTCTTCCATTCCTTCTCAATCTTTATATGAAAAACAGGAAGAAAGGAAGGCTCACCTGAGCTGGAGGGTTTATGGCCAGAAAAATAACGTTCATCGAGATATTTCACAACATCACTTTCTTCACCCGCTTCACGGCAAGTAAAGCCTCGCCGTGGCGCAATCCATAATTTCCAAAAGCTCAGCCTCAGTTCTTTGCCCTCCTCAGCTATTTCCTGCTTTTGCTGGGCTGATCCCAGCAGAGCAATGGCCCCTGAATCAGACAATGTTAATGAAATAACATCATCCATCCATCATTGCCCCCTCAGAGACATCATGTGTGTGCTCTTTGCCCAAACAAAACAACGCATAGATCGTGTGTGTCATCAGATGTAAAACAACGTCAACACGGATGCACACATCCTTAAATGCTTTGCTAGTGTTTGCCATAATGAGATAAATAGAGATCGCTCTTACCACAGAAATGCACGCTTCAAACAAAACAGTCAATGAAGACGAAGAAGAGAACGATGTGTAGCTCCCGGAGCCTTTTTATATTCTAGTCGCACCGGTAGTGACGTCATGGCTGTCGCCGGCCAACGAGTTGGTGTTTTTTCAATGTATGCTTCAGACACGGGTCACGACGAGGCGTTCCCCATAGCGACCCCTAGAGGATGCAGTTCAAAGTTCCCATGAAAGGGAACCACCATTTCAAACTGAGAAAGATTTTAGTGCTTTAACAACAATGTATTTTTTAAAGGTTTCAAATATTTCCAGGACTCACGTCGGCGAATTGCGATGGGCCAGATGAGAAGGGTAGAGAGACAGAGAGCAGCAACTCCAGCCACACCGCCGGTGACAATCACCATGACAGTGCAGAAAAACCATTTGCAGTCAGAGTCCAGTGTGCTGTAAATAAAGCGCAAAATAATCGGAGTAATCTATATAAAGCATGAGACAACGAAGAGTTACACTTCCACAGACTATATACACACTACTGAATTCACATAGGTCAACTGTAACACACACATTACAACAACCAGTGAATATCTGTCCTAAAATGAGACCAGTAGATAATCATAGCCACTGTGCATTTAAGATTGTATTTGCAGAGAAACAGGGTATTTAAAGAATCTACATTCCCAGCCACTACGGTCAGGAGTCTGGAATTGGAATGGAAATGTAATTAAAGGGGAATGGAGATGCTGGATTGTACTCACTGACAAGGATGTAAAGCCTGTATTATCATCACTCCAATTCCATTTGCCACCTTATCAGTGAAGCTCATTGCACCATACACAAAAGCACCACTTTGCTGTTAAAAGAAAGATTTTCATTAGCATTATTGAAAAGTAGTTCTGAAGTGGTTCCTTTAGGGCTCCAGACAGAAGAAAAAAATATCATATATATACAGTGGGTACGGAAAGTATTCAGACCCCCTTACATTTTTCACTCTTTGTTATATTGCAGCCATTTGCAAAAATCATTTAAGTTAATTTTTTTGCCTCATTAATGTACACACAGCACCCCATATTGACAGAAAAACACAGAATTGTTGACATTTTTGCAGATTTATTAAAAAAGAAAAACTGAAATATCACATGGTC